TATATGTTGCGACGGAATGAAACGTTTTCATTTGTCAAACCGGTCTTTCTTGGAGCTTTGCCTACATCAAATGTGAATTACTTTTCATATAGAATTGCTATTTGATCGGTTATTGTTACGTCAGTATCTCACACACCTTTAGGATTCACTTTCATTGGTTTGTTTCGTTAGCTTCTCGGGCTCTTTTAGAATTTTCTCGTTCATTCTTTTGTTTGGGGAGTACCTTGAACACTTTTAGGATGTTCATATATTCGATTGGAACGTTAGTTTTTCGCTTTCTTTAAACATTTTAAGCATAGGTCAAAGCTGAAAAGTCATCGATTTGGAGGGAATTATAAATATGCATATTTTTAATATACGAAACCAAAATATCTTTGAACAAAGTCAACATACGAAATTTACCAATTTACCCATTTTATTGTTATAGTGGAGCTCGCAGAGTGTAGCCCCATAATTATACAAAATGGTAGTAACCCATCAAGCCGAAAAAATTTGGATGTACGACCGTACGACCGAAAGACCAAGCGTACAAGGTGCTACTTTTAGCATGCGCGGCCAACTGTACCACGGGCACTATCTTATAATCAGTCCTCCACACGGACACGGAGAAGTTGCGAATGAAAATCCATAAATATTACCACGCACTTTATCCATAGTAGGGGCTTTAGTTTAGTTGAAGAGACGTGTGGGAAAAAAAAATGCGAGCTCCGCTTTTAGGCTTGCCTAAATCTATATATTAGAACCTTGTCTATCGTTAGATCTGTAAAACTGGCTTCCTAATTTTTCATGGTTTATTAACAGCATCTACAAATACGCTGAGAATTGAAACAGCATTACTTATAAAGCATAGCTACATAGAAAGTTTCCGAACAAGTTTAAAAATCAGCATGCCACAGGGGCTGTGAGTAGTGAAATAAAAACAAAGATGAGTAAGCTTCTTTCATTTGCCACAACGAAAACGGAAAAGAAAGAAAACGGAATTAATACTAGATTTGTTCATGTATTGCAGATACTTGGGACAATAGGGATGCGACTAGATGCTTCTTGTAGTGATTCCTATTGAGGGCAGTCGGAGTTCTTTTTATCCGAGCATACCTGCGTCATTCACTGAATAACATCTTCTTTCATTTATTTTTCTTTTGTTATTATTTGTAGTTGAGAATGGAATAAATAATAAATGTAATAACATAGAACCAAAGCACTATATTATATATAATTTTTTGAAATTAAATGGCAACAGAAGCATATAACCTTTCACTAATTACGCATTCGATAATTATTTCAGATAAACAACTCCATTAAAGGAAGTAAATCTCATTGGCTAGTCTCGCACATTAATAGACCCCAGCTTTCAGAGACACAATTACCACGTTAAATTTAACAGTCAAGTTTCCCAACTCGCTGAAAGTAAGGTAACTACTTTATGAGGGAGCGACAACAAACGTTTTTCGAGTTATTTCGAAATCTCCTGAGGCACAGTCGTTGTACATGCTTAGTATTCTACCCCAGCAATAATTTATGATGGTGGATAACCTTCCATCAAATCCATCAAATACTTTTCCTCAAAGCTTACAGTTTTCGCATCTCGGAACAAATAATGTCCCTGGACAAATACATTTGCGCCAAAAAAAGGTTTATTGTCTTTGAATTGCTTTGAATGAGTCGCTGATTTTTTTACGATCGTAAATTCAGAATATGGGGTCTTGATTTATTGCCTTCAAAATAAATATTCAGAGAGAAAATGTTTATTTCTTAAAAATGGGGCGATCCAGCAGCATTTCGCGGACGTGCATATTGTTATATTTCATAGCTGTAAAGTACAAAACCAAAATATCCATGAAATATCCTGAACAAAGTCAACACACACGATATTTACTTATTTGTTTACTTTATTTAACCTCATTTCACGAAGTACATGCATTTGTTTCAATGTTTCTACCTTTTGACTCAAACATTCTGAAGCTTATTGCTCCAACCATCAATAATTACATAATGTAAAGTTACTATTTAAAGACCAAATTGCCGACAAAGCAATGCTATCTCTCACCTAAAAAATTTAACTTTTATTTCGATAAGTTCTAACTTGAGCATTGTCTGAATATAACCAATTCTTAACTTGATCCATAACAGAAGGTCAGGTCTACGACTAGATCTCTAACATTGGCTTCCTAATTTTCAATGGTTTATTAACGTAAAAAGAGCCAGATTTCCTCGTGGAGTTTTAGTAGACCCTACATTTATATTCGTAACAATACACGTAGTTTACGTAGTGCCGTGTTCGGCAAGTACACCCAAACCACCACCACCTGTAACAATAGCGGACAGAATAGCATGTATGAGAGTAAACCCTATGATGCAACTGCCAGTATCCTCCAACTCTTCTGCAACAAGACCTGTCGGAGTAGCTCAAATAGCCTTTTCCACCTGGACACACTCTGGAGTAGTAAATTGGTGAGTACACCCATCGGCGACTCCGAGGTTTTGCTCCTGTTGAAAAGGGAAATGGCGTTAAGGATTATTTTATCATCGTTTTAAATCATGGAGGGACTTCGATAGTTTTTGTATAGGAAAGTGTTTGTGAGCATTTCGTATCACATCTCGTAAATTTTGATTTTTGAGGAGAAAAGCAATACTTCGGCTCGCTATGCATTGTATTTGGGGCTTAATCTACAGAGTATGAAAAAGGGTTCTTCATCGCGGGAAACAAGTTAAGTAGTCGAGTTTTTGGGAAGGGAAAATGGGTGGTAGTATGTGACTTACGCAGAATGGGGCAGCTGAGAGAGGATTTCGCTAAAAATGGTTAGTACAATTGCGTTGTTTTTAACTACACCTCTTACCATCTGTTTCAGTCTCTTCGGATGCAGATGCGTTCTCCATGGTGTGGACTCGATATATCGGGTAGTCTGGACAGAAGTTTTTTAACTCTTCGCTCAGACTGGATCGATTGGTTATCTCACTGTCCACAGCCCACTTGCTGTCAATGGTGGTAGTCTCATCACTAGAGTTTTTCTGTCAGACAAAGGTTATTTCCCTCATGCGATCAGTTTACGTTACTATAATCAGTCTTCTTACAGCCGAGCCTCACATAAAATCTGCCGACGCTATCTACATTGGTGATATAAAATAGAGCATACAGCAAAGGAATTGGAAGACTTGAGGCTTCAAGCCCCGCGGAAACTCACATTCTTTAAGCTGGCTTTCGAAACATATGTTTCTTGATGTATATCTTCGTTATCGTTTACTTTTAAGGGAACCGTTTCCGATAAGGATAACTGGTTTTTCATTGAATGGTCCGTAAAAAAAATAACCCTACAGATTCCAAAATATGCAACAGTGAGTGCTCATAAAGTAGCTTACGTGTCCTTACCTCGGCGTGGTCAAGGTCATTTTCGAGCTTCTTTGGCGAAGGCAACTCGCGGGAAAGAGGAAGAAGATAGCAGATCTTTTTGTCTGGTAACATCAGCATACTCATATTCTGTGTTTAACGCAGACGAGAACAAAGTGAGTTTCAATCACTGAAAGCGGAAATACTTTATGCAGCATTAAGGCGTGAATGTCCTTTTTTCCGGTTCCGCCGTTAAAGTTGTGTTTGCAAAATAGCGTTTTTATGATACATATGTTGTTCCAACAAGAACTTCAAAACAACTAACCAAATTCGCTTTACTTTTCTTGAACTGTTTATTAGCAGGATACACGAACCGTCACAGAATGATGACGTGTAGAGGACACGTCATAGTACACCTCACGATAGAACACCGCCTATGAGCCAATCGTTTCCATTGTCTTCCTCATTCTTTTGTCCTTTTTTGTTCTCTAATGTTTTACGACAACTGTGTCTTCTACTCTACGTAAGAGACAAACTTACCGCCTTGAAGTCGTGCAATATATTGCTTCCATCCACGTCATTATGAGCAGGAACTCTAAACAATTCAGTTTGTTTATTTGTGTCCACCTGGATTTTCTCGGTGTACTGAGTTCCAGACTCTTTGAATTGGACGTCATAATCAACAACCTGAAATATGCAGTGATGGAAATATCAGTATAAATTATCATGTCTCTCGTAGTGCTTGCACAACATCGTGTTGACTAATGGAACATTTTTGCACACTTCATCGCGTACGGAAATAACCATGATGAGAGGGCTGTTAGCCCGTTTTGTAAAATAAATTCCAAGTACTTACTTTGTTAGCGGTGGAATCTGTAGCTGATATTAAGGTTGTCGATGCACAAAGCAACAGCAAAATGAGGGCCAAATGATCCCTAATGAGGGTTGGTTGCTAAAACCAAAAATAGAATGCAAATATTAGGGGTTTTCTTTGTACACAAGACAAAATGAAATTGATTCCGATGGATTTGCAACGACTGCTCAATTTTTAGTTTGTTCGAAGCTTGAAATTTACTGTTAGTGTCTCTACTTTCAGAAAGGTGTCTCTACTAAAGGTTTTCAGTTCATCATAGCCGATAAACAACTTTCTATAATTAGATCACATTCAGTATTCCTTCTCCAAGAGTACAAACCAATCAAGGTAAAAAAGAGCAAATATGTTGGAACTTATTAAGTTAAGGTAAAAACGTCTGAGTATGCCCAATTTGTGTTTAAAGGGGTAAATTTCTACAGAAACTGTGGTGCCGCGTTGGTTGGAAAGTATAACGGGGTAATTCAGAAAACTAAGTTCATAACGTAAAGAGAATTTAGAAGCTGACGTTTCGAGCGTTAGCCCTTCGTCAGAGCGAATTCGTGTTTGCTGACTTACCTGTAACATGTTGTCTCCTTTTCTTCGGTTTCTTCTTGGTTCTCTTTCTGTTGTTGTTATCTTCTTGACTGTGAATGATCTACACTGCAGCTTTGGTAAGCTTTGCTTGATTTTATACTCTTCTAAATCTTATTCATATGCATTATTAATATCCTTGGACGTTGCCGTTTCAGCGACAGTTACTTCTTAGAGTTTAATTTTAGATTTTCTGGAAAATCGCATCTTCTAGGAAACACAGACGTAGACATGCTATTTCTCTGCACGGAAGAGAACTGTCTGCCAGGACTGAGGCTAGGATTAATTGACAAACTCGAATACTGTATCGTCATTCAAATTTTAGCAGTTGTGAGCATCATATTTGCACAAACACACCCAGCATCCATCTCAAATCTTGGTAACTCGCTGGGATATGTGTGTTGAACTTCCTTCCTGGTTTCATGTTTTTGTTTTTCTTCCGTGTCAGCAAAACTGGATATACTTTGACTCTTAGCAGAATGTTTTTCTTTAAGTGCCGTGCCAATGCAGCATATAATTTGACTCTGCTTTTTTAATTCAAATCATGCTTTGGAATATCCAATCGACTGTAACGGGCGCAAACCCATTAGCGGAGTTATGAAGACAAGAGGGCTAACCAGAAATAGTTGGAAGGTGCCAAGGAGTCCTTTAAAAAGAGCTCACAAATTGACGACTAGAAATCATTTTAAACTGATAGAAAACTGTTGCAAATGCAAAAAAATAGGCAAAAAAGAAGTACATGAGTTCTCAGTTTGGGACTGAGCACGTTATATATGTTTTTTATTGGGAAGTCCTTTGAGACCAGCTCTCCTGCTGGGTTTTGTTGTGTTGATGTTGCAAACAGTTGCAACGCATTTAGTGTATTATGATAAAATGTTGGTTGTTAGCACTTAACAGCTGAAAGGGACTGAACACTTTGGTTAAGGTAAATAGTAGACGTGCGCTGAGTAGCAACCGTCAATATTAAAACGGCATTAAACAGGCACGCACTATTGATTATTCCTATAAACATCTTCCTATAAAAAGTGATCTGAAAAGCGTGATGCGTTTTTGTCTCTCTTCACTTAAAGAACTTGTTTTCATTTTATCGTTTCTGAAAAATGTAGCTCGACTTTCAACAACACATCTTTTTGAAGCTGCTTCGCTAATTTACCGCATAATTCTGGATTTGCATTTCAAAATTGATGTTTATTGGAATATCCAATCGTCCGTGTATGTTGGAAGCCAGTTCTCAGTTTCCATAGCTCTTCAGCATATACGTGTCACTCACTTTAAAAAACCACACTTCTAAAATATGTCTCTACTTTTTTCTATCTCAAAATTTTGCGCTATTCCACTTACAGGGCTTTTTGTATAATCGCACACTCAGTTGGACTTATGGAACTTCCTTCCTTTTGGAAAGTCCATTTTGATATAACTGAGAAATAAATCATCCCTCCGGCTTCTCAGGTATTTTGAAGCGCTTCCGTAGACCTTTACATATGATGCTATTTTCACGTCTTCCTGTTTTAGCAGACACTCACTTGGAATGATAACACTTCCATGACAGCCTGTAATTAGCGGACATCAAACATCCCTCATGGTACAGGCCTATTTCAGACTTGATTTATACCTCGGTCTACAATTAACATTTATCCCTTTAAAACTTTCTCGTTGAGGAAAACTTTGACCATTTATATATCTGTCCCTGCTTTTTAAACACAGGTGCTGATATCTGGGATGCCAATTAAATTTAATGGCCTAGGCTTATTTGCATATCCTGCGGGGCCACTTAAGAGTTATAAAAAAAACCATTCAAGTTAGTATTTGTGTTCACTTGGCATAAACTCCTTAGTGAAATAAGATAGGAACAAGAAGATAAAATACAAACACGTTATCCACGTTGTAGCGTAACTTGTAGCGTGTTGTGGAGGACGCAGATAATTTCATTTTGTAAAGATATCTGGAAAAACTTATGTAAAACGGAAGAATGCTGGGTATAGATGTCGGCTTGTAGATGTTGCAACCAGTTGCAGCACATTCATAGCTGGCACAACTTGCGATTTTAAGCAGTAAATTAAGGCTGAGGCAGTCTAGGCAACCTGTTTTTTTTTAAAGTGAGTAGTACGTATATGCTGAAGAGCTATGGAAACTGAGAACTGGCTTCCAACATATACGGACGATCGGATATTTCGATAAACATCAATTTTGAAATGCAAATCCAGAATTATACGGTAAATTAGCAAAGCAGCTTCAAAAAATATGTTGTTGAATGTCGAGCTACATTTTTCAGACACGATAAAATGAAAACAAGTTCTTTAAGTGAAGAGAGACAAAAACGCATCACGCTTTTCAGATCACTTTTTATAGGAAGATGTTTATAGGAATGATCAATAGTGCGTGCTTGTTTAATGCCGTTTTAATATTGACGGTTGTTACTCAACGCATGTCTACTATTTACCTTAACCAGGGTGTTCAGTCGCTTTCAGCCGTTACTTGATTTAAACAAACACTTTATCATCGTACACAAAATGGGTTGCGACTGTTTGCAACATCAACACAAGAAAACCCAGCAGGAGAGCTGGTCTCAAAGTACATCCTTATAGAAAACACATTTAACGTCCTCAGTCCCAAAATGAGAACTCGTACACTTCTTTTCTGCCTATTTATTGCTACACTTTTCTATCAGTTTGAAACGATTTCTAGTCTTCCATTTTTCAGCTTTTTTTTTAAGGACTCCTCGGCACCTTCCAACTAGTTCTGGTCAGCTTTCTTGCCTTCATAACTCCGCTGATGGGTTTGCGCCAGTCACGGACGATTAAATATTCCATAGCGTGATTTGAATTAAAAAAGGAGATCCAATTTACATGCTGTACTGATACGGCACTAAAAGAAAAACATTCTGCCAAGAGTCAAAGTATATCCAGTTTTGCTGACACGGAAGAAAAACAAAAACATGAAACCAGGAAGGAAGTTCAACACACATATCCCAGCGAGTTACTAAGATTTGAGATGGAAGCAGGGTGTATTCGTGCAAATATGATGCTTGCAACTGCTAACATTTGAATGACGATGCAGTACTCGAGTTTGCCAACAAATCCTAACCTCAGTTCTGGCAAACAGTTCTCTGCTGTGCAGAGAAGTAGCATGTCTACGTCTGTGTTTCCTAGAAAATGCGATTTTCCAGAAAATCTAAAATTAAACTCTAGGAAGTAACTGTCGCTGAAACGGCAACGTCCAAGGACATTAATAATGCATATGAATAACATTTAGAAGAGTATAAAATGAAGCAAAGCTTACCAAAGCTGCAGTGTAGATCAGCTACAGTCAAGAAGATAACAACAACAACAAGAGAACCAAGAAGAAACCGAAGCAAAGGAGACAACATGTTACAGGTAAGTCAGCAAACACGAATTCGCTCTGACGAAGGGCTAACGCTCGAAACTTCAGCTTCTAAACTCTCAACGGTGGCCAATTTACGTTATGAACTAAGTTGGTAATACTTAATTACTCAGTTATACTCTCCAACCGACGCAGCACCGCAGTTTCTGTAGAAATTTACCCCTTTAAACACAAATTGGGCATACTCAGAAGTTTGTACCTCAACTTAATAAGTTCCAACATATTTGCTCTTTTTTACCTTGATTAGTTTGTGCTCTTGAAGAAGGAATACTGAATATTATCTAATGATAGAAAGTTGTTTATGGGCTATGATAAACTTAAAACCTTCAGTGGAGACACCTTTCTGCAAGTAGAGACACTAACAGTAAATTTCAAGCTTCGAACAAACTGAAAATTGAGCAGTCGTTGCAAATCCATCGGAATCAATTTCATTTTGTCTTGTGTACAAAGAAAACCCCTAATATTTGCATTCTATTTTTGGTTTTAGCAACCAACCCTCATCAGGGATCATTTGGCCCTCATTTTGCTGTTGCTTTGTGCATCGACAACCTTAATATCAGCTACAGATTCCACCGCTAACAAGGTAAGTACTTAGAATTTATTTTACAAAGCGAGCTAACAGTTTTCTCGACAAATAACGGCCTTCTAATCATGGTTATTTCCGTACGCGATAAAGTGTGCAAAAATGTTCCATTAGTCAACACGATGTTGTGCAAGTACTACGAGAGACATAATAATTTATACTGATATTTCCATCACCGCATATCTCAGGTTGTTGATTATGACGTCCAATTCAAAGAGTCTGGAACTCAGTACACCGAGAAAATCCAGGTGGACACAAATAAACAAACTGAATTGTTTAAAGTTCCTGCTCATAATGACGTGGATGGAAGCAATATATTGCACGACTTCAAGGCGGTAAGTTTGTCTCTTACTTAGAACAGAAGACACAGTTGCCGTAAAACATTAGAGAACAAAAAAAGGCAAAAGCCGGAATGAGGAAGACAATGGAAACAATTGGCTAATAGGCGATGTTCTATTGTGAGGTGTACTATGACGTGTCCTCTACACGATAAAGCCGTAAGTTTATTCTTTACTAGTCATCGTAGGGGTTATTTTTCCTAAAAAATCTTTAACATTTTAATCAAACTCAAAAAGTAAGGCTCGGATAACTTTGTATGCGTGGTTTAATTCAATACCTTTAGGAGTGTTCAAAGAGTATACCACATAAGTAGATATTCGGACACTTTTTCACATTTTAGAATATCTTACGTCCTTACTTGGACATTCTTAAAGAAAACTTGTCTCTTGTTTGACTTAAACGTCACCATTCCGTGACGGTCTGTGTATCCTGCTAAGAACGGTTCGAGTGAAGTAAAGTGAATTTGGTTAGTTGTTTTTAAGCTTCCGTTGGAACAAAATATGCATCATAAAAACGCTATTTTGTAAACACAACTTTAACGGCGGAACCGGAACAAAGGACATTCACGCCTTAATGCTGCGTAAAGTATTTCCGCTTTCAGTGATTGAAACTCACTTCGTTCTCGTCTGCGTTAAACACAGAATATGAGTATGCTGATGTTACCAGACAAAAAGATCTGCTATCTTCTTCCTCTTTCCCGCGAGTTGCCTTCGCCAAAGAAGCTCGAAAATGACCTTGACCACGCCGAGGTAAGGACACGTAAGCTACTTTACGAGCACTCAATGTTGCATATTTGGGAATCTGTTTGGTTATTTTCTTGAAGACCGTTCAGTGAAAACCCAGTTATCCTCATCGGAAACGGTTCCCTTAAAAGTAAACGATAACGAAGATATACATCAAGAAACATATGTTTCGATAGCCAGCTTAAAGAATGTGAGTTTCCGTGAGGATTGAAGCCTCAGGTCTTCCAATTCCTTTGCGGTATGCTCTATTTTATATCGCTCATGTAGATTTTATGTAAGGCCCGGCTATAAGAATACTGATTATAATAATGTAAACTGAGGGAAATAACCTTTTTCTGGCAGAAAAACTCTAGTGACGAGACCACTACCATTGACAGCAAGTGGGCTGTGGACAGTGAGATAACAAATCGATCCAGTCTGAGCGAAGAGTTAAAAAAATTCTGTCCAGACTACCCGATATATCGAGTCCACACCATGGAGAACGCATCTGCATCCGAAGAGACTGAAACAGATGGTAAGAGGTGTAGTTAAAGACGACGCAGTTGTACTAACCATTTTTAGCGAGATCATCTCTCAGCTGCCCCATTCTGCGTAAGTCAAATACTGCCCCCCATCCTCCCTTCCCAAAAACTCCACTCCTTAACTTGAGCCACAAGTTTCCCGTTATGAAGAGCCCTTTTTCATACTCTATAGATTAAGCCCCAAATACAATGCATAGCGAGCCGAAGTATCGCTTTTCTCCTCAAATATCAAAATTTATGAGATGTAATACGAAATGCTCAGAAACACTTCCCCACACGAAAACTATCAAAGTCTCTCTATGATTTGAAAAACGCCGTTTCCCTTTTCAACAGGAGCAAAACCTCGAAGTCGTCGATGGGTGTACTCGCCAATTTACACCTACAGAGTGTGTCCAGGTGGAAAAGGCTATTTGAGCTACTCCGACAGGTCTTGTTGCAGTAGGGTTGGTGGATACTGGCAGTTGCATCATAGGGTTTACTCTCATACATGCTATTCTGTCCGCTATTGTTACAGGTGGTGGTGGTTCGGGTATACTTGCCGAACACAGCACTACGTAAACTACGTGTATTGTTACGAATATAAATGTAGGGTCTACTAAAATTCCACGAGGAAATCTGGCTCTTTTTACGTTAATAAACCATTAATTATTATTTTTAATTAACCATTGAATTATTATTATTATTAGGAAGCCAATGTTAGAGATCTAGTCGTAGACCTGACCTCCTGTTATGGATCAAGTTAAGAACTGGTTATGTTAAGACAACGTTCAAGTTCGAACGTATCGAAATAGAAGTTAAATTTTTTAGGTGGGAGATATCATTGCTTTGTCGGTAATTTGGTCTTTAAATTGTAACTTTACATTATGTAATTATTGATGGTTGGAGCAATAAGCTTCAGGATGTTTGAGTCCAAAGGTAGAAACATTGAAACAAATGCATTTGCTTCGTGAAATGAGGTTAAATAAAGTGAACAAAGAAGTAAATATCGTGTGTGTTGACTTTGTTCAGGATATTTCATGGATATTTTGGTTTCGTATATTACAACCGTGAAATGCAACAATATGCACGTCCGCGAAATGCTATTGGATCGCTCCATTTCCGAGAAATGAAGATTTTCTCTGTGAAAATTTTGAAGGCAATAAATCATTGACCACATATCCTGAATTTACGATCGCGAAAAAATCAGTGATTCATTCCAAACAATTAAAAAAAATTGAGGTTCTCTAGCTGGTTAAATTTATGAACATTTGTATACCCGTAATCAAGAGTTATACTGAGAATGCTACTATTTCTGAATTTGATGGACTCATTTGAACGATGTAAAACTCCCAGTATAAAGCTTTTAAAACTTAATCATGTCATCATATCATGTAGATATACCCAATGTATCACCCTATTATGCATAGTAGTTTCCCGTCAAACTCAACCTCAGTTCTGTTCTGTTCAAACACCTAACCGTAAATTAGACTATTGGGAGATGCTGTTAAAAAAAACTACGCCAGAACACTCTCGAAAAGTGCAGGTAAACGCGATAAACCACAAATGCTAACGTTGTTTTCCTTCAAATTCAGCTGCCACCTGCTGAGAGGAGTTCTTACAAGAGACTCCAAAGTAGTTCATGGTACAAGAAGTTTGGAATTTTGATTTCACACAGATTTGTCCTGATTTATCCTTTTTTCTCTACTTTTGCTCTGTAATCCCTCAAATGAAGTAAAAACGCTTTTAAGGTGTCGCGTTTTATATGAAAAAAGTGGAAATTATACGATTCTACTTTATTTCAAATCAGTACGTGCTCCTCTTGTCTCTGGGTGATGGAGTGATGCACCTTTTATTTCCTCCGGAAAACATTTGTACATCTTGCGTGACTACATGCCATGCACCATCAATTTGGAATCAAATGTCTTCGAACATCTATATGTTTTAGCGAACAGTCAACATGTTGACCATCAGCTTCCTGCCGGATGTCTTAGACGATAATGGACCTTAATGGACCTTATAGCTTTTTGGCGGCACGTTACTTTACGATGATATTCATCGTTTGTAAGCTTTGGTTTATTACAACTGTGTGACAGAATGAAGATATATTAGGTCTCTTGCACCTTCACCGAAGGAAGCTATAGGTATTGTTAAAACATCCATTGCTGTTATACAGTATTTCTGCTTTGTTTTCTTGTCTAATACTTGCATTATTATCATGTTACTGATGTTTTAGCTGACACTTACTTTCAATTACAAGACTTCGTATGAGTACTTCCTTGTTTGATAAATGAAAATAAACATTCCTGAGAGTACTGACATTTTTCAAACAGCCAACTTGGTGGTTTGAAATGGGCTTGATTTGTGAAACTTGGGTGTTGGCGAACTGACTTTGACGATAAATGTTTATTGACTGCTACGACTCAAGATTAAAAGCCTGAAATCTCCCCTACATCATGTGTTGGCAATGATTAAGGCATCGATCAAGGCACTTAATATGTAGATGAATAAACATCGCGTGGAGAGATTTGCGTTCACTTTGCATAAAACCATGAGTGCAAAATTACACACACCAGATAGTCTTTCAAGAAATAAACGAAAATTTTCATAATTTGAAGGCTGCATGATGAAATTTCAGCAATATTTCAAAACTGAGAGAAGACTATTGTGAACAATGAATTCCATCCAGAGTCTCCATGCACTTAGATATTAAAACAAGACTGTTATTTTATCGGATTCTCAATGCTGAGTAAGAATTAGCACGTTAAATTAGAAATGTGAAACGCGACGCGGTGCATTCATAGTATCAACTTTGAGACAAGACACCTGTTTATAACAACGTAAAATAATTAGTGTGACAATATCAAAACACGGAAATACAGCACAGACTTCCTGCTGGTAAGCAGTTTGTCAACGTTTTAAACAGTTTCAGTGCATTCATTGCGCAGTTCTGGGAATGCAATTTTCGTTGTTAATTGTTGAAAGGTAGTTTGTTTGAAGAAAAGAGGGATTAAACAAATACATTAGAAAATGAATAAGTTTGGGTTTAGGACCGGCCAACCGTTAAAACTGAAAATGAGCTAAAAATAGTCGTGGACGTCCAAAAATTAATAATCAATTTCCATGTAAAAAAAAACATCATTACCGGAGGTGCAATTTTGCTGAAGCTGTGAAGCAGCCCTCAAAAATAGTAATAAAATACAGAACTCAAATTCCGTAGTAAAGCAGCAAGTCTTTATGTCTACATATACAAGTATCGGTATCAACCGCAAACCACAGCTGGGAAAACTGCACTGTTTATATAATTTGAAGACTTAAGATACTTTTACGTAAAGTGCAACAAATAGCTATTTCATTACACATTACTGGCATTCCTATGCTTGATGAGGATCTGGAGTACCAAGGAAGTTAGAAATAACCACAAAGTACAAAGTGTAACTCTCGCTGAAATGGCAAAATCTATAAACAATGTATATGCATAGCACTGAGAACAGCATAAAAGGGAGCAAAGCCCAGCTTAGCTTCAGTGTACATCAGCTCCAGTTAAAAACAGACGAACATTAGGAGAGACAAGTCAGAAACGCAACAAAGTGGAACATAGAGGACAAGAATCATGCTTGATGTAAGTATGCAAAAAGGGCCGGCGTATTGTCAGGTCAGATTTGAAACACTCCACTTCCGTATTACAGGAGTATATGAAGAGTTTTCAGAAACCTATTCTTAATTTGACCTGTTCAGGGTATACGTTCAGGCTTCCCTGAATGATATTGAAAAAATCTTTTTTGCTTCATGTTTGGAAATTGTCCGAAAAAAATCCTATTAAAAGTATACTCCACGATAGTTTCTCAATTTAAGGCTTTCAGTACAAACAGAGTTACATTTTAACTGACTGGGGGAAAAAAATGGACGTATTTTAAAAAGCGCCTCACCATATTGACAAGAAGTGCTATCAAAAATTAATCTCGGGCATTTTTCTCGTTTTTTCCTCAGATTAACAAAAAAATATTCACATATCCTTTTCGTTGTTTCCTTATGTTGTAGCAACCGACCCTCGTTAGCAGACATTTGGCTGTCGTGTTTTTACTGCTTGTTGCCACCGCAAACTTGACCTCTGCGAGTCCTGTTCGTTCTACACAGTCTCCTTCTAGGACCTTCTTGGAAGGCAAATTATCTTCTTCTGAGTCGAATAGACGGTGACCGAAGGTCTAGTAGTAGTAGTAGTAGTAGTAGTAGTAGCAGCAGCAGCAGCAGCAGCAGTAGTAGTAGTAGTAGTAGTACACTTTGTATTTAACGAGGGTAACATTTGACAGTGATTAAACTGATGAAGTCATGGCCTTCGCATGGGCTGGCGAGATTGCTTCGCACATGCGACGAAGAGTATGCCTGTGCCTTTTTCTGTTTTTCCATTATATATAACCTCCTTTTAGCAATCAGAGGTTTCGACGATTACTAAAATATTTCATTTCCAGTAAGCTTTGATACAATTTCTTTCGAACTCAAACGGAGTTGTAGTGAAGAATCCTTGCCTATTTGCAATGCAAGCAGCTCAGTCACCTATGGTCCTTATGCAAAAACTAACTCGTGAATTTGTGTTATGAAAAAACCCAGTCAATGCTCCAATTAGCCCCCAGGGTCCTCGTTAAATGATCTGAGTCAAGAGGCGGCTTCTATTTCGAAGAGTGCTTTTATTTCTTCTTTGAAAGTTTTGGCGGTTCACTTTTAAACTGGTCTCATTTCAACACCAACTGCAAAATTGAACTCATTGCAAAACCTGAATGTATGTTTCATTAGAGAATTAATTCTCTGTCTGTAATGCATGTTGTAATTATACTTTCTGTTTTCATAAAGTTCCGGTAATTCTTAGGTTAATTTGCAACCTTAACTATGCCGATTGGCACTGTTTTTAACATCGTATCATCAGGAATCCATTCTTGGATGGTGTTTACCAGCAGCGTCATAATATAATAACAAAATTTGGATCTCTGTTGAGTTATTCTTATATTGGGACAGGTCATCAGCCGTTTATTTCATGTCGTTGTTGGCACGCGAATGGGGTCTGTATTTCGAATAGTTCACACCGATAGGAGTTCCACAACATTTCCGAAAATGTATCTCAGTCGTTGTCGTCTTCTGAGACCTTTTGATCGGTATGGTGAGGATCTGACAGCTGCGGCGCAGAGCAATTCTAAACATGGCATCAATTTAACTAAAAGGTGCCTATCCCAGATAAGCATCAGTTAATTTTAATTTTGCATATCTTTATCTTTTAGTTGAAGAAATTATTTTCGTTAGAGAGACTAATTTAGCATGTAAATATTTTGTCGACATATAAATAAACACTTAATTTTGTATCTTTATCTTTTAGAAGAAATTATTTTCGTTAGAGAGACTAATTTAGCATGTAAATATTTTGTCGACATATAAATAAACACTTAAGTAGTAAATAGGTAATTTAGTGTTAACAACTGAGTTGAAAACGTAAATTGGCCACCGTAAAGGGTAAAAAAGCTGACGTTCCGAGCGTTAGCCCTTCGTCAGAGCGAGGGGCTAACGCTCGAAACTTTACTCCTTACGGTGGCCAATTAACGTTTTCAACTCAGTTGTTAACACTGAATTACCTGCT